TTAAAGATATGATTTTAATATCCTATTTCTATCTTTGTCCCATTTTTATTTTTTATTTATTTTAATATATCTATATATGTAAGTAGTATATACATTTATATTTTATTTATAATTTTTTATGTCTTTTTATATCTTTTTTTGCAATGAAAATATGATAATTTAAAAGGCATAAAAGATAAATATGAAATAAGATATGAAATAATAAATTATTTCCATACTTAGTTCCATATTTAATTCAATTTTTATAATTTACTTATATATACATTTAAAAAATATCCATACCAAAAAAGCATACATTTACTGTACGTAGATAACATATTGACAATAACTTTCCATCCGTCCATAACAATGTGTCTATACTCACGAATAAAAAATATTTATATATTTTAAATTTAGAATTTTAAATTATATAATTTTAAATTGAATGTATTGATGCATTCAAAAGATATAACAACCAAAGCAGAACAAATATCTTTCCTCATTCGATAACTACAGCTCAGCGGGCAAAGTCAAATACGTTAGACATATCGATAAAGATTCTCTCTATATATAGACACTAAAAAAACAAAAAATATGAAAAATATTTAAACTAAATAATTTGTTCAATATTCTAATTCAATTTATATTTTATCGATATAATATATGATTCATCTATAATACTATAATCTATTAAATTTATTAATTATATTTAATATGTATTAATATATTTATGTATATAACATTTAATTTATTAATGTTAAAAATAATTTCTAATAATCATCATATATATTTACAAACTAAAAAAAGATTTACTCTTGTGATATTAATTTTCATATTATAAATATATTAAAATATTCCAAATTCTTTAACACGACCAGTCGAGGTTATGAACAATAAACATATTAACAAATTAACATTAATTTTATTAAATTCATTAAATTTATAAATCTTTAAAGAATATCATCTGAAACAATAATAATTTGTATAAAATTAATAGATTAATTTATATATATAAGAAATAAACAACATATATATAAAAAAATTTATCGTAATCAGAGTATAAAAGACTCAAAGGTGAGAGAAGAAAAATAGAAAGGGAATGAAAGAGAAAAAGAGAAAGAGAGGAGAAGGGGAGGATGGTGGAAGCTGGCTGAATATTTTTACCCAAGCCTGTTAACTACACTCTGTTATTTTATCTCACGTACGCAGTTTTTCCACCACTACCATGCTGTTACGCAGGAATATAAGTTTTAAGGCGTGTTTTGATAGCGTCAGGGTGTGTCAGCTGGGGCTTCCTACCTAATGGATCACTTCTTCGTTTATTCGTTCATACTTTTTGAAGTATATGACCCCATGATACCGCGAACACTCCGATAATTTTAGTTATATCGTAATTATTGATAGAATCACGTTGCAAAAGAGTCAACGAAAGAATAGAATATGTCGAAAGTAAAAATCAATTTTTACCTTTCTTTAGAATTTCTATTCGGTTATAAAACAAATAAAAAGATTATCGTTAAAATTCAATATACAATTAAAATTCGATACACAATTATTATACAAAATTATTAATTCCTTTGAAAAAATTGAAATTGCAATTGTCGAAATCGAATTGATGACAAAGTGTTGACAATTGCAACTCTTATCACACCTAAAAGGTGTGAAAAGGAAAAGGATAAAAGTGGTTCATCACGAACGTATATTTACGTGAAACAATATTTTCGTTGGCTTTAAGAAGGTGGTGACAGAATATTTCTCTCTCCCTCTCTTTCTATCCCGACATATTTCGGTACAAAGCACTAGAATGATACAAGAAATTGTGAAGACACCATCAATCGTCGACTTTGCATTTAATGCTCGATATACTTACATACGTATGAATATCATATTATTATTATTATAATATATCGTTTCATTCTTTAGTCCTATAATCGTATTAAAAGAAAACGAAAACACAATTTTCGTTGTGTTTCAAAGGATATAAGAGTAATGAAAAAGAATCGTAAAGCAGTATAATACTTATGTACATTCAAAAACAAGAATGAGATTAATTGATTTGTTAAATAACAAACCATGTTGTGTTAGGTTCACCATGATAACCAAACAACGTTACGATTGTGTTCAGAGTATAACTCGGTTCATTCAGTTCCTCTTGCTATGTGGCATCAATTTCATTCAAACAATTCGTAGACAAAAATAGCCAAGAAATTAAACATCTTCCATCTAAAATTATTATCTTATATTATCTTATTCACGTATAAAATTTTGATTTCTTTTTTTTTTTTTTTTTTGAATCCAATTTAATTTGCCAATCCATTTTTCGATCCCATTTTTATCCATCGATAAAATTTTTATCCATCCTTTATAATCTTTCTTTTCAATTATCCCGTAATACATTCCGTAGCGTAAAAATTTGTAGCGTAAATGCGATTAATCACGAATAAACTGGCTTCCAAAAATCCATTTCACGTAGCGTTCACATAGCGACGTCACGTATAGGGAGAGCTGCAAGAACGAACGTTGTTATTACAGATGCCACTCGTTCAGGATCCCGGGGTATATTTCAAACACAAAGAAGCCTCCTTCCAATCCGGAAGAGTGACGCCTAATTTTCGAGATCGTGAGTTTATAGATTTCTGAAAAATCTGCCGATACGTTACCGATTATGGCACGCTCGTCCAAATATAACTTACCAACCAACAACATGCCAAATTTGTACACAACTACTTTTCCATTAAACACTTTCACAAACAGATTTTTAATAATAATTTTTTCACAATTCCGTTATGATACTTATAATTAACGATTCGTAAAATTTCAAAAGAATTTGAAAGAAATATTTCTCCAATAGTCGATAAAATGGATCAATCTCGAAAAGAATTCAAAGAATAAAGAAGAGTGAGGAGAACGAACAGGTTCGACCCTATTGAAAATAGCGAACAGGGGAAGAGGAAGAAAAGGACAAGAGGAAGAGAGGAGAAGAATGAAGGGAAGGGTTGACAGGGAAACGAGAAAGAGAGAGGAGGTACGAAATAAGGGAGGGAGGAACAGAGGGAGTAGGGAAAAAGAATTCTAACTGAAATAACATTGGATGATTGTGGTATTGTCAACCATAGTACTCGCGCACGCCTTCGCGTTTCTCTCTCCTTCTCTCGCTCCCTCTTTGACCCCCTCTCGAATCGTGTCCTTCCACCCCTAGGACCCGTCCTATCCTAGCTCTGCCTCGGTTTAGGCGCTAGAATATTAGGCGCTGGTGGACAGAATAGACGGTGGTGGCAAGGGGGATGAAACAACACCCCGTTCCCACCGATTCTCCCCTCTTTCAACGTCGCGGCCGCCTTTTTCTCGCTTCGCCCCCTATCCTCCGCTATCCCATTCCCTAAATGCGGCCAATAAAAACAACACCGTACTCTCGCCACGAGAGCCACGGAGAGCAGAAGGATCGTGGATACAGTGAATTATAAAAATAACAGTGCGAAACGATCGAACAATCGGTCTCTTCATTCTCAATGCCTCGTCCGTGTCATTTCTCTGGCTCGCGAAAAATCTCCCCATTCAAGACCCGTGACAACTCTCTCTCTCTCCTCTCTCCTTCTCTGTCTTCCATTCCATGCTTGTTTATCCTCTTATTGTATCTGGATTGGGTGAAAATTGTTGGAAAAACGTTGAACAGAAAATGATTTCGCCAATTCCAAAAAAGATCCATCCAAGATTCAATTTTCCTTTAATGGATAATAGTATATTTATAGTAATTTTTATACAATTTTTCTTATACCTCTGATATAACTTTATGTGTTACTGTTATTATATCTCTTATTGGGTGAAAATTGTTGAACAGAGAACGATTTCACCAATTCTAAAAAAAATCCATCCAAAATTCAATTTTCCTTAAATGAATAATAGTATATTTATAATAATTTTTATAGAATTTTTCTTATACCTCTAATATAACTTTATGTGTTACTGTTATTATATCTCTTATTGGGTGAAAATTGTTGAAAAAACGTTGAACAGAAAATGATTTCGCCAATTCCAAAAAAGATCCATCCAAGATTCAATTTTCCTTAAATGAATAATAGTATATTTATAATAATTTTTATAGAATTTTTCTTATATCTGTGATATAACTTTATGTAATATTCTTATTGTATCTCTTATTGGGTGAAAATTGTTGAACAAAGAACGATTTCACCAATTCTAAAAAAAATCCATCCAAGATTCAATTTTCCTTAAATGAATAATAGTATATTTATAGTAATTTTTATAGAATCTTTCTTACACCTCATAATTACATAATATTTATGTAGTACTCTTATTGTATTTCTTATTAAATAAAAATTGTTGAAAAAATGTTGAACGGAGAATAAGAACGATCTTGCCAATTCCAAGAAAGATCCATCCAAGATTCAATTTTCCTTTAATGAATAAAAATATATTTATAGTTATATTAATTTTTATAGAATCTTTCTTAATTTACGATAAGGTATGATACTTCTGATTAAATATATCTCTGATATAACTTTATACAGTACTCTTATTGTATCTGGATTGGATGAAAAATGTTGAACAAATAAAATAAGAATGATCTCGCCAATTCCAAAAAAGATCCATCCAAGATTCAATTTTCCTTCAATGCATAAAAGTGTATTTATAGTAATTTTTATAGAATCTTTCTTAACTTACGACAATATATATGTATATGTATATGTATATGTATATGTATATGTATATGTGTATATATATATATATATATATATATATATATATGTATATATATGTATAGGTATGATACTCATGATTAAATATATCTCTGATACAAGATAGAAGCAAATCCCATAATTTGGATCCGCACGAGGTTTCGATTCCTTCCCTTCTGTCATTCCGGCCGATGTTTTCCTTCTTTCCACCGGCATTCCACAGATTTTCTCCCGGGTTTTCGCGGCGTCCACCTCCCCCTCGAATCCCCCCTCTGTCCCCTCCCCGCCGCGCGGTGCACGCGAGTACACGAACGCCTACTCGCCTCGGCGAAGTCAAAGAGAGATAAAATCTATAAATATGTGGGAGGCGCACGCGACCCATTCCAGTGTTTGTTCAACCAAGAATAACCTCCGTTTCTTCATCGTACGCAGAACCCCGCAGAAGAGGCTGGTTTTGTGGCTTGACGCAAGCCTAATCCGGGGTGATGCTTCGTTAACCACCTCCGGCTATCCGAAAGATTTTCGTTAACAACTTGTGCGTTATCAACGTTCGTTCGCGAACCCATCGTGGACACGGTGCGACGATTTCTCTCTTGAGAATGTAACGTCATCGATGGCTCGAAGAAAGTCTTGACTCGACGGTTGAAAAATTCTTCGAACGGAACAGGAAGGATGACATCGTGGAAGGAGAAAAAGGTAACGGTTCCCTACGAAGAAAGAATTATTTTTTATTATTTACGAAGAGTTGAAAATAAAATCGTTGCTTCTTATGATAAAATTAAACAGAAAATTTAGATAGAAATATTCTTGGAATAAAACAGAGAAGGATGACATAGTAGAAGGAAAGTTAAAAATAAAATCATTGCTTCTTAATAAAATTAATCACAGAATGTGATTAGATAGAAAAATTCTTCGAATGGAATATTCTTCGAAGGATGATATCGTAGAAGGAGAAAAAGGATCAGATCCTTACGAGAAAAGAATTATTTTTTTTTATTATTTATGGAGAGCTCAAAATATGAGTTCAAGATGATTTCTTCTTAATAAAATCAATCGTAGAACATAATTCCTTTAATGTAAATATTAAATTTATTACATTCCTTATTTTCATCATATAAATAAGGATTTTCGTGTTGATATGTCACCTAATTAATATTCAATGATCAATAATTTATAGAGAGTTCAAAATAAGACGATTGCTTCTTAATAAAATCAATCGTAGAACATAATTTCTTTAATATAAATATTAAATTTATTACATTCCTTATTTTCATCATCATACAAATAAGGATCTTCATGTTGATACGTCACTTAATATTCAATAATCAATTGTACATCATTCGTGACGATCAATATTTCGTTAAATTCATTAAATTCATTATAACGCATTTCTCATGATATTCTTAAAATCATACTCGATCATCCAACGGTGGAATTCGAACAATTTGTCCGCCCAAGCTGTTCATTCGAGCGAAAGTTAGTTAGCTAGACGTGAACCGGCAGCAGAGGGGAATTAGTTAGCGGTAAACACACCTCATCAATCTTCCTCGAACGTCGTCGTTCTCTTCATCATCGCGACACGGTGTACCAACGATCTGAAATATCCGCGACACGTGTCTCCATTAAAGTGGCGCCCGTTAAGAACACCACGAATATACGTCATTTTCTGGGTGAATCGTTGGAAAGCTCGTTCTCTACAGGGAATTTATGAACTGTCTGGAAAGCGTAACACGTTTGTCAAAAATTTTAGACCGCAACTGGATCATTTGAAAGATATTAAATAAAACACGAAGAGAACTTAAATTAAATTATATCGTAGATGGATGTATAACTCTTACGATCATAAGTTAACCAAATTGCCTGTTTTATCTATAAAGTTTTCAATGTTCCTTTTAAATCCTTTTAAAAACTTTAAGAATATTATATTCGTTAACATCTCTATTTCTCTTCAATTTTATTTATTTGTAAACGTTCTGATGGATCTAGAATATCGCAAAGGATCAATAGATAATAATGATTAAAAATAAAGTTTGATTTATTACAATAATCAATACTTTTCCTTTAAATTTCACTTTTCTTTCTCGATTAAAGAAAAGCATTAAATACATTCTATCTTCATCAAAATCCTTTTAAAAACTCTAAGAATATTATATTCGTTAACATCTCTATTTCTCTGCAATTTTATTTATTTGTAAACGTTCTGATGGATCTAGAATATCGCAAAGGATCAATAGTCAATAATGATTAAAAGTAAAGTTTGATTTATTACAATAATCAATACTTTTCCTTTAAATTTCACTTTCCTTTCTCGATTAAAGAAAAGCATTATAATAATAAATACATTCCATTATAAAATAAATACATTCCATCTTCATCAAAATCCTTTTAATTCTAAGAATATTATATTCGTTAACATCTCTATTTCTCTTCAATTTTATTTATTTGTAAACGTTCTGATGGATCTAGAATATCGCAAAGAATCAATAGATAATAATGATTAAAAGTAAAATTAATTTATTACAATAATCAATACTTTTCCTTTAAATTTCACTTTCCTTTCTCGATTAAAGAAAAGCATTAAATACATTCCATCAAAATACAATAACCATCAGTACTAGTAACTGTAATTCACCACGAAATATAACGTGTATAACACTACGTTATTCCACGAGGCGACAAAATCAAATAAACAAAATTAATCACAATCCTCCGGTACTCGAAGGAAGGTAGCCGAGTGTCGAAGATCGGAAAGTTGATTCTCCCATTCTCTCCGCGTGCGATAATTATCGCGGAATCTTTGGTGGCTCGTTCGCTTTAGGAAGGAAGACTCGAAATGTTTAAGAGGAGCCGGAGGGCCGGTGTCGAGAAAGGTCCGCCATTCTCGACACCTGGCAACAGCCAATGGCAGGATAAAGCGGACAGGAGAGAGCTTTTCGTCCTCGAACGCCACACCCTTCATTGTGACCACATATCGACCGAGTCTCTCACAGCTTGGGGCTGCGTACCCCGTACTAATTGTAAGTACTCTTGCCGTGTACTTGTGCGCGCATGTGTGAGAGTGCAACGCTTGCCAACTAGGGTGCCACTGAGCGCGCGCGCGCGCAAGTCTCACACTCGTGAACACGGTGACCTCCATGGAACCAATGCACCAATTTTTACTACTTTACTCTCCAGGATCCTCTTGTTATCGATTAACTAACACGTTATCGGTAAATAACATGGGTTGTGGTATCACTTTTTAGAATCTTATCTGTGACGAAATTCGTTTCATTATCATTTATTATTTTCGGGTTGATGTGTAGAGATTTCAATGGTAGAAACGAGTAAAATATTCTTTTAAAGATTCCTCCTCTGTCGCTTTAAAAAAAAGAAATAAAATAATTAAATTACTTTCAATTTTATATTTGATTATATGTATTAGGAATATTTGAAATATTTAGAATTAAATTAGATAAGGATTAAGCGGTAAATACGAAATTCGTTTCATTACCAGACTTATTATTTTTGGGCATCGTATAAAATATTCTTTTAAAGATTCCTTCTTTGTCGCTTTAAAAAAAAAAAAGAAGTAAAATAATTAAATTACTTTCAATTTTATATTTGAAATATTTAGAATTAAATTGGATAAGGATTAAATGGTAAATACAAAATTCGTTTCATTACCAGACTTATTATTTTTGGGCATCGTGTAAAATATTCTTTTAAAGATTCCTTCTCTGTCACTTTAAAAAAAAAAATAAAATAATTAATATACTTTCAATTTTATATTTGATTATATGTATTAGGAATATTTGAAATATTTAGAATTAAATTGAATAAGGATTAAGCGATAAATACAAAATTCGTTTCATTACCAGACTTATTATTTTTGGGCATCATGTAAAATATTCTTTTAAAGATTCCTTCTCCTTCACTTTAAAAAAAAAATAAAATAATTAAATTACTTTCAATTTTATATTTGATTACATATATTAGGAATAATTGAAATATTTAGAATTAAATTGGATAAGGATTAAGCGGTAAATACAAAATTGGTTTCATTACCAGACTTATTATTTTTGGGCATCGTGTAAAATATTCTTTTAAAGATTCCTTCTCTATCACTTTAAAAAAAAAAATAAAATAATTAAATTACTTTCAATTTTATATTTGATTATATATATTAGGAATATTTGAAATATTTAGAATTAAATTGGATAAGGATTAAATGGTAAATACAAAATTCGTTTCATTACCAGACTTATTATTTTCGGGCATCGTGTAAAATATTCTTTTAAAGATTCCTTTTCTGTCGCTTTAAAAAAAAAAAAAAGAAATAAAATTATTAAATTACTTTCAATTTCATATTTGATTATATATATTAGGAATATTTGAAATACTTAGAATTAAATTGGATAAGGATGAAGGATTAAGCGGTAAATACGAAATTCGTGTACAGCCACGAGGTACGAGGCGAGTGTGCGGTCAGGTTGAGGGCAATAACCATCCACTTTAGGCTCAGCAAGGTTTCTATATGGCACGAGAATGCGGAGCTACCCTAGGTAACCCTCGAATAATATTTTGATATCCCCCGGCCAGGACTTTTCTCCTCGTCCGATCCGCCACATATCAACGGCAGGAAATTATTTTTCACACTCCCGTATCCTTTTCCTCCGCTCCCTTTTCCACGATACTCCGGCGCTGCCTTCCCTGAAGAGATGAAAAGGAAATTCAGTTTCCACGTAGACGAAACTCCTTTAACGATTGTATATTAAATAATTAGAATTGAATCTTGTTTCAAGAAATCACAAATTTTTCAACATTTTATCATATTTTATCATAGTGGATAAAAGTATTCAAAAGTGGTTCAACAATAATATTTTTCAAAAAATATTTCAAAGTCACTTTTATTATCTTTACAACATCTTTAATTTTGTATTCATCATGAATGATTACGAATATATTTAATTCGGGACAAATATTTACACACCGTACCATTTATTTTGACATTTGATTAATTATAAATCCAATGTAAAATATGACAATTAAGAAGAAAAATTCCTTCGAGAAATTACATTATCGTCCTTACTACTTCATTGATTATTAATTTATCTGTGTAAAAGAAAAATTTCTGTTTCGACCTTAAATCGAACAAAGGCACGAATAGGAAAACACGAGGCATACGAACCGATTACACGAAAACAGAAGATCATATCTTGTGGCGCAGGACTCCCACGGAAGGGGGCGTAACACAGTTGTGCAGGTATGTATACACACATGTATATAGCCAAACGAGGATGCAGTGGAGCAGTCCGGCCTAAATGTTATTCCATGCGACAGAGATTGCTTCTTCAGGTAACACGGTCCAGCCGCCGCCGACCTAGACGTTGGACGACCTGCACGAGAGAGAGGAGTTCGTCAAATATGTATGCGGATAAACACGGGCAACGTTGACAGAAATAATATCCGCGGGTGAAGGCGATTGCACCTGTCGGCCCCGCCGTAGAAAAAGAATTTTCTTTCGCTTCTCGTGTACGATCGACCACTTTCCATCCTCCCCCCTCCCCCCTTTTTTTTTTCCTTTGCAACCTCGACGTGTCAACTTTCCACACTTTTGGAATTCACTCATCTCGAGATATCGAGAGCGAGGTCGTTGTGAAGCTTGCTTTAAAGTAGTAGTCAAGTTTCAGAATTTCAATTTCAGATTTTAATTCGACGAGAAATTTTCAAAATCTCGCTTCGATCGATTTCGTCGAATAAATTTAAATTGTATATTTATGGAGAGATTCTAGCTGATGTTTGAAAATGAATAATTATAATAAACAGGTTTCTTGATTTCGCGTATATTTTCAGTGTATTTTTCAGATTGATTCGAGTTCGATCGAAGAGCAATCATCCGTTTACGGATATAACAGTATTAAGCTAATATCCCATATTTATTTCTTTCTTACATTTAATTCGTAATCGACGCAAAATTTACTTGCTTGCGTTTACAATTATATTTCATCTTAATTCCTCTTCCGTGTAAATTGATTTTAAATTGGAAAATTCCAGGGAATGGGGAAAAGAAGGGACAATTTGACACAGATGTCTCGATACAGGAGATCGAACAGACGAAGACACGAGTCTCCCATTGTGCGATAACCGATGAAATGACCGAGAAATCGTAGGCTGACGTTCCAACATAATAGGGATTCTAGCCTAGGATTTCGATCCTTTTCGATCTTTGGATAAGATCGCGCCCCAGCCCACGCTAAGATCTTCACCGTAAACGGTCGAATATTCGCCGATTCGACCAGCCTTTTCTTACGCATTGTCACGCTTTTAAAGGGATCGAATCTCCAACCTTGGTGGTCCTCCCTCCATTGACCGATTGTTACCCCGATTCTCCCCACGTATAAGTAGAACGAAATCGAATGATTCCATTCCATCGAGTATGAAATGCAATATAATTAATTGTATAACATCACGTTCCACGATCGCGAATATCCCTAACCTACGAACTTCGTTTCCAAAATTCCAAAAAAAAAAAAAAAAAAAAAAAAGAGATAAGTAAATGATAAGTACAGTAAGATTTATTTAATTCGTGGAAAAATTCGTTGAAAGTAAAAGCATCAATGAAAATATCCTCCGAGGAAAAATGAGGAGAAAGGAGGAGGGGGGAAGAAGAGGGGAGAGACAATCGGTTCGGGCAAGCTTGGTGGACGGAAGAAGGGCGGTGGAGGGGAGTTGTTCCGCTCCCGTATCGACGGCGTAATAATAATAACGCGGGCGCTCGTCGGTTGGTGAACGACGGGCGTCGGTAACGATTTTAATAAATTTGGCGCTGGCTAAGCTGCAACAACAGCGGCGGGTATGAATTAAGAGGGCAACACCGAAACACACCGCTTGGATAAACATCTCGAATTAGGCACCCGGGGATTCTTTTCCGTCCATCCGCGTGCAACCCGGGAGCTTTACGACTTCGGTATGTTACGGGCTGACGTCGCTCGATATGTATATGAGGCGGTTAGAACCGCGGTGAAATTGCGGTAATGGACGGAGATATTTTACAGCCGAGAGTTCCCCCTCCCCCTACATGTTTCACGGATTAGTTTCGTATCCCGCCCCTTGATCCTTGTAACGCGACTGCCTTGATCGATTGTGTCAAAATATAGGCTATTTCTAACCCCTCCTTTCTCTCTCTCTCTCTCTCTCTCTCTCTCTCTCTCTCTCTCTCTTATTGCGCGAGAATATTTTAGAAGATATTAGTCGCGGAGTTATTAGCTTTAATGTAAATTTGAGTTTGAATTAGAAAAGCGTATTTTACGTATTTTAATAAATTGACAATGGGATTGCTTTGATCGATTGTGTCAAAATAAGTTACTTCTTCTTTTTCTTATTGCGCGATAATATTTTAGAAGATATTAATCGTGGAGCTACTAGCTTTAATGTAAATTTTATTTTGAACTAGAAAAGTATTTTTTATGTATTTTAATAAATTGACAATGGGATTGCTTTGATCGATTGNTCTCTCTCTCTCTCTCTCTTATTGCGCGAGAATATTTTAGAAGATGTTAATCGCAGAGTTAGCTTTACGAATTTGAATTGGAAATACGTATTTTAATAAATTGGCAACGCGACTGCTTTGATCGATTGTGTCAAAATAGGTTACTTCTTCTTTTTCTTATTGCACGAGAATATTTTAGAAGATATTAATCGCGGAGTTATTAGCTTTAATGTAAATTTTAGTTTGAATTAGAAAAGCGTATTTTACGTATTTTAATAAATTGACAATGGGATTGCTTTGATCGATTGTGTCAAAATAGGCTATTTCTTTTTTTTCTTATTACGAGAAAATATTTTAGAAGATATTAATCGCGGAGCTACTAGCTTTAATGTAAATTTTAGTTTGAATTAGAAAAGCATTCTTTACGTATTTTAATAAATTAATAGCGATTGTTTTGATCGATTGTGTCAAAATAGGCTATTTCTTCTTTTTATCATACTATGCCAATTTTAATGTGAATTATAAAAAGATAGATAAGTTTGAAAATGATAATTGGAAAAGCATTTTTTATATATTTTAATAGAGTAAATAAATATATCTGTCGCGAAATGGTAATAAACTTTTTACGGTAATTTTACGATATAAGTATAAGTTAATTTTATTATCATATATATATATATAAAGAATCGTTGAAACGCTACAGTTCATTAAAAGTTTTTTTACTCACGTTTTATTTTACGAGAGATGCTCGAACGACAGATATGCGAGACCAGGAGTACGAGGAAAACGAGGTTTAATGGTTTACGACTGGCGGTTCGGACAGTGACGTGACATCCGAATGGAAGCTGCATCTTGTCAGTGCGAAAAGAAGTCTCGTGGCGGGCAATCGTAGCGTTCCGTTCGAGCGAACGAACCGTTCTCTTTCGCGGCCACAACGCGCGCGTTTAAAAAATTTACTTCGTCCCTCGAAACAAACAATAAGGAACTGTTCCGTACTGTTCCGAAATAAATTTTACAAGACAATACGATAAACTTAAAATACCGTCTCGAAGAACGAAAAATAAAAGAATTCACAAAGTTCACAATTCCGCGCAATACGAATAAATTCTAAAAGGTAGCGTTCACGATTCATTCTCTCCACTCTTCTCGAGAAAAGAAAAGAGAGAAAGAAAATCGAAAGAAAAATCGCAATTCCGAAAAAATCCGAGTCAGGTGTACGGTGGTCGCTCGAAAAGCCAAAGAAAAAAAAAAAAAAAGAAAGAAAAAAGAAAGAGAAAAAGAGAAAAAAATGGAAAAGCCAGGAAACTGACGGTGGAAAAGAAGGGGAAAGAGGATAAAACGAGCGAATGTATTTACGGGAAAGAGGAAAATACGTAAACGAGTTGGGGTAGGCAGAGCGACGACCGTCCTCTCCCCCTCCCTTCCTCCCCCCTCCCCTGGTTCGAGGCAGCGGGAGCAGCGTAAATAGAGCCCTGTGAAATTGTCCGCTGTTCGAGGAATCGAGAGTGCATCCGATGTGCAAATCGGTTTAACGAGAGGTCCCTCCCCTCCCGTCCCCTCCCTCCCTCCCGTCGGCCCGGTATTCCGCCCCCATAAAATAACAACAGGCATCGTTTCCATGCGTCGCATTTTCAGCTCGACGCCATTATCTCCGCCGGCCGCTCTCGCTCGGACACGGGCGGCGCGAAGAACGATTATACGCGAAACTCGCGACACAAAATTCGTTTTATAGGATCGCCGAGTTTTCATCAGTTTTCGAGACTCCTCAGTGGATGATATTATCTTGGAACGATCGGATTGGACGGATAACTCGGTGGAGGTTTTTTTCGATCGATATCCGATTGAATTTTACGTTTTATATATATATAACTCGAAATTATTTGTATTTGTATCTGAACGATCTGTATCCGTATTTTCGTTTCGGTCGACGATAATTTCGAATTCGAAAGTTTTTCTTTCTTCAATTCGAAGTTTGACGTGGGATCGTGGGAAATAACATTGGAAGGGGGTTATAAAACGGGAAAAATATATTCGTAATAATAGGTGGAGAAACGTGTCTTGCAAATTTTTTTAATATAACAAAAACTTTGTGATTCCGCGTAAGGTAATAATGACTGGTGGTATTCTCAACCTTTTCTATTTAAGGGCTTCGGAATATTCGAATATTTTCAAACATTTTCGTCCTTTTTTTCCATTCTCCACCATTTTCGATCGTTCCTCTCTTTCGATAAAAGCGATAAAAACGGAGGAGAGTCCTCTTTCGTCACGATACAATTTTTCTATAATACTCTTTCACGATATCTTTCACGATATCTTCTCTTTTAGAAGCAATAATTTTTCTCTAGAAAAAAAAAAAAAAAAAAAAAGAGAAATAACGAAAAATGAAATAACGCGAATAAAAAAATAAAAAGTTTTATTTTCGGTGTGGAGAAACGATCGCGAGACGGATAAATGAACGGGTGGAGGGCGGAGGGTGTTTCGTCGAGTGGCGCTGTTAAGGAAAGTCTTATCAGGGAGAGGGGGAAGGGCAGGAAAAGCTAAAGGGAGGAACGTGCGCTTATGCCGGCGGTGTTTGTTCAGCCGCAACTTCTCTAAATCTTTTGTGCATCGTGGAGGGTTGTCTCGTGTACACTCGGTTACATATGTGTCTCGTTCACCTATGTGTAAAGCTTCTTCTTCAGGTACTTCCCACACATAGAAATGCTTTTCGCGTATATATATATATATATATATATATATATATATATATGTGTACATGTACATAGAAAGGAACGACGAAGGGAATACTTGGAAATGGAGAACGAAAATTCTCGAGAACTTTCACAATCCTCCCAAATTTCTCGTAATTTCGAATTTCGAGCGTATACAACGTTTTCATACGTTGCCAATAAATCGTTTAACGTTTAA